AAAAAAAAAAAAAAAAAAAAAAAAAAAAAGAAATAGTAGCCAGGAGACTGCTCTGTTCTGTATTATTTAAAAATCACAGGGGATGATTGGGGCAGGGCTTAAGAACATGAAGGCTGGGATTAGCGTAGGACTCTGAAGAGGAGAAGCCATTGCAAGGACCGAGAAGGGCATTTGGCATTGAATGCTGCTGACAGTGTTGGAAGGAAATCAGTCTCAGACCTCTTTTGTCTTTCACTAGGTCACTGCTCATTGAAAACTCCAGGGACTACATCAAGATGAACTGAGCAGAAGTGAAGACTTGGGCATATTCGGTGTTTCACTGTTTCTCTACTGGTCAGACCCAACCCTCCAATGGCCAAGCATTGGCCAAGCATGTTTCTTTCTTTCTTTAAACATTTTGACTGAGCATAATTGATGCCAAATAAGCCAAATGTACCAAATGTATAAATCTCATGAGCTTGAACACAGGTATATCCTTATCAAAACATTACCTGGGGAAATACACATCCATTACTTTCAAAATTTTCCTTGGGTCTTTGTTTCATTTTGTTTTGTAGTGAGACACTTATGAGATCAACCCTACTAACAAATTTTAAAATTTATATCACAGTGTGACTGACTACATATAGTATGTAGAATAGCAAAGCTCAAAAATGAATTCATGTTGCATAGTTGAAACTTTATAGCAGTGGGATAACAGCTCATCAATTACCTTTATCCTGCTCCCTCATAGATACTGTACTACTCTCTGTTTTGATCCATTAGGCTATACTAAGTACTTCATATACTTAAATCATGCACTACTGGCATTTCTGTGGCTAGCTTATTTCATTTAATATCATATCTTCTAGGTTTATTTATGTCACTGCAAATTGTCAGTATGCTTCTTTTTAAAGGTAAATAATATTCCATCCCCTATACCATATTTTCCTTAATCATTCATTTGCCTATGAATATTTGGGTCATTTTGATAACTTGTTTACAGTACATAACATTGCAACAAATGCTAGCTATACAAATATCTCTTTGGGATCTAATTCTAACAGATATATGAAAAGGTGATCAATAGCAGTAATTTATCAGGGAAATGCAAATGAAAACCACAGTGAGATATCACCTCCCAATAGTAAGAAGAGATATTATTGTTTTAATCTATTAACAGCAGATAGTAACTGTCTGAAAGGATTTGGAGAAAACAAACCTTTGTACTTCCTTGGAAATGTAGAATAGTGAAGCTGCTATGGAAAATAGTAGAGAAACTCCTCAAATATTTAAAAACAGAATCACCATACGACCCCACGATTCCATATCTAGGAATATAAATGAGAACTTCAAATCAGCTATCTGTTTCTATAAATCTCCATTAATGAGGCTCTATTTCACCCATCTCTGTTTCTGCCTCAATCCTAGGAGTTCAGAAGCACCTTTTCACAGTATCAATTAAGAAGCTGGCAAAGAAGAAGACTGAGGAATTGGCCACTAACTGAATGCTGATGCCCTCTGGGATCTGGAGCAATGCTCAGGGGCTGGACACTCTCTGGACTGAACACCTTGGTCTAGGATGCTGGGTTTCATGCTTGACCCATCGTAACTTTCTTTCCTTTGCCCAGCTCTTTCAAACCTAGACCAGCTGCAATGCCAGTGGCAGGACCAAACTCAACTTTTGTGACTGAGTTTCTCTTTGAAGGTTTCTCCAGTTTTGGGTGGCAGCACAGGCTTGTCTTCTTTGTTGTTTTTCTAACACTGTACCTGCTGACTCTGTCTGGCAATGTGGTTATTGTGACCGTTATTCGCCTGGACCGTCACCTTCATACTCCCATGTACTTCTTCCTCAGCATGCTCTCCATCTCTGAGACCTGCTACACTGTGGCCATCATTCCCTGTATGCTTTCTGGTCTCCTGAATCCTCAGAAGACTATTTCTTTTCAAGACTGTGCCACCCAGCTCTTCTTCTATCTAACTTTTGGCATCAATAACTGCTTTCTACTTACAGCCATGGGATATGACCGCTACGTGGCCATCTGCAACCCTCTAAGGTATTCAGTTATCATGGGCAAGAGGGCTTGTGTCCAGCTGGTATGTGGGTCACTGGGCATTGGCTTGAGCATGGCCATTGTCCAGGTAACATCTGTATTTGGTTTGCCTTTCTGTGATGGCTTTGTCATCTCCCACTTCTTCTGTGATGTGAGACCCCTGCTGAAGCTGGCCTGCACAAATACCACTGTCAATGAGATCATCAACTTTGTTGTGAGTGTCTTTGTCCTTGTTCTACCAATGGCCCTGGTCTTCATCTCCTATGTCCTCATTATTGCTACAATCCTCAAGATTGCTTCAGCAGAGGGTAGGAAGAAGGCCTTTGCCACCTGTGCCTCCCACCTCACAGTGGTCATCATCCACTATGGCTGTGCCTCGATCATCTACCTCAAGCCTAAGTCCCAGAGTTCCCTGGGGCAGGACAGACTCATCTCAGTGACTTACACTGTCATCACGCCCCTGCTGAACCCTGTTGTGTACAGCCTGAGGAACAAGGAGGTCAAAGAGGCTCTGTGCAGAGCACTGTGAAGAAAGCCAATCTGGATAGTTTATGAGGATCTTTGTTTTTTTAATGTACAGATATGTATTAATTATTACACCATTTCAACACATGAGATCAGGAATAGTGGACTAAGTAGAACTGAGTGCTAATTGTGGTAGCTGTGCTTTTCTGTGTTCTTCTCTAGAGAAGTAAGAAAAAGTCTTGGCATAGGAAATGGTGTAGTACAAAGGTTTTAAATGCCCATGTCACTGACACCCAGGAACACTCACACTTACACATAGGTACACACATTGTGAGAATATTTTTGGCTACTTATATTAGCTAATGCACAAAATCCAACAGGGTACTGATAAACGGTTTGAAAACCACTTCGGAGAGATTGTTTGCTATTGGTAAGAATGCTGAGAGAGTTTGTGTGGCCATTGTGACATGTAAGTGAGGAAACATACATGAACATAGAGTGGTATGTTTTCTTATGTTGTCTTTGCTACTGACTTCCTAGCATGGCAGGCATCACAACTTGGAGAATCCTCAAAAGGCCAGTGGGACACCTTCCACATGGATGCCACTTACCTAACAGAGCTGGAAATAGGGAGCACAATATAAGGTACCAAAAAGCACTAGCCACAGAGAACAGAGGTGGGTTGTCCATGGTCCCGACATGTCCAGAAGAGAAAGCTCAGCTTGAAAAGGAAAGTAGACTAAAAGCTTCAACCCTTTTTGTACTTTCTTTTTTTTTTTGGTTTTTCTCCGGTTCCGGGAACTGAACTCACGACCTTGCACTTGCCAGGCAGGCGCTTTTGCCGCTGAGCTAAATCCCCAGCCCCCCTTTTTGTACTTTCAACACAGGACTAATGAGGATACCATTTGAGAGGTTTCCCAGGATGGGCTTAAATTCTCTGAAATAGTGTTATAAACATAAGCACTTTAGGCAACATATTAAGCAGCATTTATTAATGAACAGCAACCTAAAACTCAGTTAAAAATTGTACAAGAAGCTTGTAAACTTGCTGTGGTGAACTTTTAGAAGTCTCTTGGATCCCATCATCTTTTAAATTGTGTGCTAAACAGCATTTCATGTCTAAGCATCACAGAAAGTAAAAGTGGATGCTGTGGGTTAAGCAAGGACCCCTGTCTCATCCTTCCACCTAACTCTGGCCTTCTGTGGAGTAGATAGTGACACTCTTGAGTTTGAGACACAGCATGGCATCCAGAATCCATCAGATCCAGTGACATGACTCCATGAAGGTAGGACATCATTTGTGGAAGTGCCACCAAATCTCAGCTGCTGAGGATAGGAGGAGCCAGTGGAAACAAACAAATCCTTTGACTCAAGTTAATATGGTCACTTGGCAAAAAATCAAGGCCTGGAAAGTCTGGCTCAAGATTCTGGCTGGGGATAAAATATTTTTTGCCTTAGTGTCCAGATTTCCAGAAATGGTAACCGGTTCATTTCTGTGCTGTTGGTTAATATACAATTAAAATATTTTGCATAATAATTCTGTTTCACCTGGCTCAAAATTGCTGGGTAAATGTCTGATCAATTTAACACCATTTCTTTGCTGAAGATAGATTTATTGGCTATTATAGTATACACACCCATGTTGTACCACTCAGGACCCACACGTGCATTCCCCAATGCTGGAAAATATGTGCGTCCCTCTTATGGAACCGTCCTTGCTATGGAGCTGCTTCCTCCCAGTTCTTACTATACTTTGGAAGACTTATGTCTATTTCAGAAATCTGACTGTCATTAAGATAATTATGAAGAGATTTCCTTAATCCAGAGCACTCATCTGTGAGACAGGCTTAGACGTTTGTTTGACTGCACCACATTTCCATTTATCTGCCTGTTCTACCCTGCTACCTTCAGCCCTTCACAGTGTAGAGGCAGAGAGTACTCCTTAATGAAATTCTTGCATTAAAGTCTCTGTCTCAGAGTCTGTTTCCATGGGTTCCAAGTCTGTAAAACTTCAGGAAAGCAGTTTCTAGAAAAGCAATTATCATGAGGTGAGGGTTCAAATTTTTAGTTGTGATATGGTCTAGTGAAGGCAGAAGATCAGTAGCTCCTAGATTTGCATTTTTTAAAAAACGATTTCATTGTGTTTATGGAGCTACACTTACTGTGATTCAATTTAGTTGTCAGCAGTACAGCACTGTCTGCTTGGAGACTGGTTAAAAATAAACATCTGAATTTTTCTCAGAATTCACAAGAAGTCATTTTTTTTTTACCTCCAAAAATTCTCTTTGAGTGATTGCAAGTTCATGGCAGCCAGGCACTACAACCTTGCAGGGAGATTGCTGACCATTCTTAGTGTTATGCTGAAATTCAACCTTCACAGGAAATACTGAAAGTGGGGCTATGACTTTCCAGTTGGGGGAGGGGAAGAGGGTTGGGGCTGTTGGTTATGTAAACAAGTGAACTTGATAATGATTCACAGTACAATTGAGGAGTAAATGGTATTTGGAGGAATCTTGTAAGAGTTGATAAGGTACTAAATGGGGACAGGGACTTTGACATAACTGTCCAGAGTTGGGTAGATATCTAAGGTTGATAGTCTTATGTACTAAAATAAAAATCTCTTTAGAAATGATACATTCTGGGGGCTGAAAAATCCTCAAATCCTAACTTTGTTCTACATTCTTTCTTGAATAGGCTATGAATAACCATCTAAGAGATAGCAGGAGGAAAGAAATAGCAGACATGGGTCTGAATGAACACAGAATTTAGGTACACGAGAGAGTACAGGAAAGGAAGAAGGACCAATGTGTGAAGCATGATGAGAATTCACCCTGCAGCTCCCTGAAAATGACTTCTGAGCTGCTCTATGCCTGCATAATCACACATGGCAATTGAGTGACAGAGGAATAAATGACACGTGTCTGGGCTGGAGGGACCCAACGGAACACTTTGTCCAAACCCCTCATTTTATCAAGAGGAAAGAGAATCTCAGAGACTGGCAAGGAACTGGCCCAACCCCTCAGCTAGTTAGTGGTAGCTTGAATCTCCATATCTGTTCTCTATGCATAGCCCTCCAAGCTTGGGCTGAGGACAAGAGGAGAGGCAAATGTGACATGCAAGAATACAGAAACTCTCAGGACATGTACCCCAAGATGATCAGGACTTGACTTTCTACGCACATTAAGTAGCTCTCACCTCTTAACTCCAAATCATTTGGCTTCAGATTCATGTCTACACAGAGAGACAACTTGCTCTCTAGCCTGATATTTGTGATGCTGACTTCTGTAGAGGTCACTGGGGCAATGTGTCCTAATGCATGTGCTGACCTCAAGGATATGAAGTGAAGCACGAGGTAGTGGGGTGAGCGGATCCTGGACCACCAGGGAACCTTCTAGGGGGACTTTTCCTGACCTGTTTCAGGCTTTCTGAATTCTCTTCACTCAACAGCTCTTGTGACGTCAAGCTAAACAACATGCTGTTCCCTGAGAATCTGGCTATTTTTCTTTTTACCTCTCTGAACTGTAAAATCAACCAATCAACCAATCTATCTATCAGTCAAACAATCAAAAAAGACATCTTTGCAAGAGATTAATAATACAGCCCTATATGAATACATTTTTAAAATCTCTATGTAGGGAGAATGAAAACAGAAAAGAAAAGGAGACAGAGAATGAAAAGGTTAATGCCAGTAATTTCTCTTTCATTTGAGGCCAAAAGTCTTTCTTGCAGATCTAATGGATATTTGTGAAGCTGTGCTCGGGTCCCCTTCATCAAGGCATCAGTTGTTGTAGAATGTGGGTAAACTAGGTGCCCTCCTCTCACTGCCTGCCTTCGACTCTTGGGCAGCATTGGAAATATGTACCTTTCTTCCTCACAGCTTTCTAAAAGCCTCCAGTGTAACCACCTCCATGCTCCTGCTGGAGGGTCAGAGGACAGCTTAGTGGGGGATCTCATACTGGTGCTAAAAGTACCTACATCTTTGTCTACAAATCTTTGCAGCTTAAAAAATTGCACTCATGGTTACAGCCTCTTACTTGATTCTGAGCACAGCCCAAAAAGATAGACAGAAAGACTTTTTTTCAGTACCAGGAATCAAACTCATGACCTCAGCCTTGCCAGGCAAGTGCTTAAGCCACGGAGCTATACCCCTGACCCTTGAAAGACTATTATCATGACTATTTCAAGCATAAAATATGCATAAAATATATGCATATTTTATATGCATAAAATATACATATGCATAAAATATCATGACTATTTCAAGCATAAAAACTCCACAGAAGTAGAGAAGATTCTATCCAACTACAAACCTAGACAACAAGTAACAGGATTTGCATTCATGTCTTCTCTTGTATGATTTATGCTCTTCCTAATGGATGGCTTTTTAAAAGGCAGAAAGTTAATTTCATTCAGTGCATATAGATGTCCTGGTGAATGTCTTTGATGAATGTTGTGAGGACATAAAACAAAAGGGAAAATAAACAAAATGGTCTGTTTCCTTTGCTGAGAACTTATTGAGTCCTAGATTCTTTTCAGAGGTAAGGGCTCTTGTTACTATTATTTGCTGGACTTTTTCAAAATACTTAATTAAATTATACTATAGAGACACAAAAAACCAGTTCAACAAATAAGTTTTGGGGGTTAATTTTCCATCCTAGTGGATATTTTCCCCAGGTTTACAATCCCAGTTTGGCAGTTATTTTCTTTCAGCACTTTGAAAATTTCATTTCATTGATTTCTGTTTCCCATCATTGTTGCTAAAAGAACAGTTAATGGCCTTATTCTCTTATTTTCATTTTCTTACATGTCAGTAATGATTGTAGTAGGTTTCCATTGCTGCATAATAAATACCACAAATTTGGAGCCTAAAAAACACACACTTGTTATACTGCAATTTCTTCAATCAAGTGACTGGTATGGTGAGCTGATCTGCTCAAGGGCTCACAATCTTATCTGATGGTCAGTGGATCTGTAATCTTTCCCACAGTTTGGCATTCACTTCAAACTATGTGGTTGTTGAAAGAATTAAGTTCCTTGTAGTTATAGGACTGAGGCTGATACTTC